ACGGTCCCTATTGTCTGTTACTGTTACCTGATGCCTGGATTCCTCCAGGCGTACTTGTAATCGAAGCTTTTCAAGTTCTAACTCAGCCCTACTCTGTTGATCGGCCAGCCTAAGTTTTTCTAATTCTATTTCCGCTCTAGACTTTTCCGTTAGTCTAAGTCTTTCTAAATCTAGTTCTATCTTCGCCCTTTGTTCAGCGATCGCAATATCTAATTTGGCCTCACTAGTCTTACGCTCATGTTCTGCATTAATCTGATGCTGCGCCCAATCATCCAGAGCTTCGCCTGAATAGCCTAGCCTTTCCCCCAACTCAAAAAGGAGACCCAGATGTTCGGCCGTTCCCATACCGAACCGTGTACCACAATGATGGGTAATAACAATGGAGGAATAAATTACCAAGAAAGCCAACAGTCGCAGTGATTATCTGCAGGCGGGGGTCCTAACGTTATCTTCTAACAATAACGCCCTCTCCCAGGTATGTCCCCCACCTGAAGATAAACAGAACCTACTGGACAATAGAGGAATCGCTTAGAATCCTCCTACCCTAACCGCCCTTATGAAGTAAGCGATGGAGGAAAACTATAAACTATACAAATATTAAATGCTATCTAAGAATGAAGGAAAAGGTCATGTCATGTCATGTTTGCCTGTCGTCCCTACTGGGACATAGGCCGCTGACAAGAGCTTTCCAGACGTCTCTGTCCAGGGCTAGTCTCTCCAACTGTCCCCAGGTGTATCCAATCTTCTTGGTGTCTTCTTCCAGGTCACGTCTCCAGGTCTTTCTTGGTCTGCCTCTCTTCCTCCTGCCTTGTGGATTCCAGGTGAGGGCCTGTCTTGTTATGCTGGATACAGGCTTCCTGAGTGTGTGGCCAATCCATTTCCATTTTCTCTGGAGGATCTCTACTTCCACTGGCAGTTGATTTGTCCGTTGCCATAGAACATCATTTCTGATGGTTTTAGGCCAGCGAATTCGCAGGATCTTTCTGAGACATGCGTTTATAAATGATTGTATTTTCTTCTTATTTATAGCAGTTATTCTCCATGTCTCAGCTCCATAGAGTAAAACAGGTTTTACTAGTGTGTTGAAGATCCGGATTTTTATTCTAAGGGTTAAATCTCCCGAACCCCAAACATTTTTTAGTTGGTTGAAGACTGCTCTTGCCTTACCCGTCCTTATTTTTATGTCTGCTTCTGTCCCACCCTGCTTATCAACAATACTTCCAAGGTAGGTGAATCTATCCACTTCTTCTAGGGCTTCTTCTGCCAGTGTTATAGGGTTGTTGTTTGATGCATTGACTTTGAGAACTTTACTTTTCCCTCTGTGGATGTTCAGACCCAGGCTTGTAGAAAAATTTGCAACCCTGTTGGTTTTATCCTGCATTTGCTGTTGTGTGTGAGAAAGGAGGGCCAGGTCGTCAGCAAAGTCCAGGTCATCCAGCTGGCTCCACAATGTCCACTGTATGCCGTTTCGCGTTTTCTCTGTTGACATCTTCATAACCCAGTCTATGGCCAGTAGGAACAGGAATGGTGAAAGCAGGCAACCCTGCCTTACTAAAGGTACTTATCTTTAAATAATCCAAAGCTTGTATCCCACGATGGTGTCAGACGGTGCGCACTCGGTCCACTCTCCACGTCTGTAGTCCTGAACTTGATTGGAGTCAATAGACGATCAGAGACCTGATATGGTCGCTGGATATCGTAACGGTCGAACAGAAGTCCGTCTCTGCCCAAACGATAACGACTCGAGCAGCTAAATCAAGTGTCGAAACGTCCATTCACGGTCCAAGGTCAGGCGAATCTGGCACGGCTGTAGATCACGGTGCACTGCAATAGATGGCGGGCGAATCTGGCACGGCTGTAGATCACGGTGCACTGCAATAGATGGCGGGCGAATCTGGTACGGCTGTAGATCACGGTGCACTGCAATAGATGGCGGGCGAATCTGGCACGGCTGTAGATCACGGTGCACTGCAATAGTTGGCAGGCGAATATGGCACGGCTGTAGATTACGGTGCACTGCAATAGATGGCGGGCGAAACTGGTACGGCTGTAGATCACGGTGCACTGCAATAGATGGCGGGCGAATCTAAATGCAGGCGTGTTGCGGCAAACGATAGGCGTAGTGTAGATCACAACGGTCGTTAGGAAGAACCATCGGGTGGATGTACGTTGTTCTACTGCGTTGAGCAACCAGCTGTTCCACCATCTGTTGTGAGTTGAGGACAGGGTCGACAAGAAACCAACACGAAGTCCGTTCACAATCCGTTACTTTTATTGCTTGTAAGATCACACAACCTAGGATGCCTATAAGAGAATGGACCCCCTAATAATCCTAACCCCACCTTTTATACCCCGCCTAACATCTAAGTTTTTCTGCGCTCTATGTCACTTCCCTCCCAATCGTTCCTATGCTACAAAATGTGTGTGTACTATTTATTTACATTCTTTGATCTCAATATACTAAAATAGACTATAGATTGAAGGTTAATGGAAACATGTAAACAAAAGGGACGCTACTCTAAATCTACGTAAATACTTATATGTAACAATCCTAACAATACTGATGGCTGCCATTCTTCATTTTCACCTTTGATACTGATGGCTGCCATTCTTCATCTTCTACCGCTGATACTGATAGTTCAGACTCAAAACTTGTTAGTCATTTTCACCTGCTATACTAAAACTGGCAAATATATGCCTTTATCATTAGCACTTGAGTTTAGACAAAAGCGTTCAAGTTCAAGACTTGTTTCTGTTGTGTTCTCAATAACATTTATGACTATTTATAAACCTTACTCTCAGGGTCACAACCTGTAGAACACCCACCCCACTCCCAGTTTGATCAATTCATTGCCCAGTATCAACTTTCAAGCAGCATTACAAAGTTGTTTTGCCTTTTTGTCCTCATTTGTACTCCTAATGAGGTTAATGTCAAGTTACTCTAAAATGCTCGCCTGTCTCTATCAACATTCCAGATCTCCCTAAAAGAGTACAAATCACCATATATGTCCTCCCACAGGCAATCTTACCCCTGCATTTCATTAACCTATTGTAACTCTAAACTACAGTTCTGTCTGTAATTGCAAGTCAGAGCTCCAGCAAAGAGTATAAATCACTACATTTGTCCACCCACAGGTTAACTCTTGCTTGAGAATCCCATCAACCTGTAGTATCATATTACAGCTCTCCCATTGACAACAACATGTCTTGTGTTCCCCATGGCCACAATGCCCTGAATACCTTAACTGTGTCAGTATTGTTACCCACCCCACAACGAACAAAGAAAAGAATGTACTATAAGAAAGTCTTTAGGTGTAATCTACCCAGTTGCCGGGAATCAGAAGAAATAGTATTTCCCACTATAAAAAGTCTCCGGGTATGATCCACCCAGTTGCCGGGGACAGGGTACCAAATATGTTGCCGGGGAAAGGGGTAAAGACAGAACAGACAGACCCGACGGGTTCCGAACCTACCATTCCACACGGCACCGAATCGCCTCGGATTTCCATACAGTGCGTGGGAATAATTTGGTCACAAGTACTCTAAAAGATGCCCCTACACTATACTAAATAAATATCACACACATTTATTAAGGAATATCAATGACTACCATAGGGCTACCCATCACTTATGCCCGCTTTTTTACAAGCTTTTATTTAACTCACTTCCTCTGTCGTCAGGGCCATGTATTACGTTTTATTTTAATAGTCAGAAAAATTAACCAAGGTTAGATTATTAACTGGGATGCTTCTTTTTGTAAGTAAAAAATCCAAACAGTTTCGTTACTTTGCGAATGATGCAATTAGCATCTATTTTTAGACAATTCAATCAGAAATTGAGATCGAGCATCTAATAATAGACCATTAGTAACGGTAACATTGCATCAGTCACACTGATGTTTAAAACACGTCAAATAATTTTTTTTACGTGTTAAAGGAAAATATCATGTTGATTTGGGTAACTTTAGTGAATGATGCAATCTGCATCATTTTAACAGGATGCTATCTGGCACTCTGGGTTATCCTATGAGCACGATGGCGCCTGTTAGTTTTAAGGAGCCAGGGGCCGTACGCGGCAGTGTAATCGGGGTGGGGGGCTCCCGAGAACGCCCCTCTACGTCCCTGACACATAGGCGGTCACCGAAGTGTGTTCTACCTCATTATTTCGGTTAGTGATTAATGTACACTCAAGGTTTTCATGCGGTAGTGTAGGTAAACCCATGTCCCGATACTTATGATCCAAGCCAGGCATTTTTTACATTTAAATAATTCACTTTTAGAAAACAATGTTAGGCGTCTAAGAATATGGGATTGGTGACGCATGGATGAAACCCTTCTTATATATTTCGTCGAACTTTCTTCTATTCCCGCGGCAACGCGCGGGGGACGGGTACGCTAGTAAAAAATATTCGGTGTTGAAAACTTCAAGAATAAGGTTAAAGTTAAAGAAAGGAAAATCAGGAACACATGTGATATCTGTACAGAACGATTGTTAACTGCGATACAGCAAGATATGGAAAATGGCGCTACACAAGAAATTTTCAAAAAACATCGATCCCTCTACCTACCAGTGTTTCAGGGGCGATGATATTATCAATTACATCACTAATTTCTAATATTCGTCTTAAATTGAAAATAATACAGGCGCTTATATAAAGTGGTACTTATAAGTACCGTCAGTAGATATGCCCAGCCGCCTTTACTAAAGTTAAACCAATTTTTACAAAACATTGCTTTAAAAATCAACCACTTCCAAAATTGCAGTCTTATCATTCCTATGCAACATGTATTAACATTTTTAATCTCACCTAGCAGTGGCTCATTTAGAGTAAAAATATATACATGCAGAATAGCAATGTTACATCGTAGGCAATTATGTTAATGATACAATATTGTCAGATAAACGTTTGAAGTGAATCTCATGTTTACTCTATCATATTTGTGATGATGTGGTTAAATAAAATAATCTTGGGACATGCTGAATAAAAAGAAAAGAAATCTCAAAGTTAATCAAGTTTATTTGAAGTGAACATTACAAGAATGACTAAAGCCAACTTTTATCAGATTTAAAAATCTACAGAAAATAAATATTAATACACAAATAAAAGTATAACAATTATAACTGGATCCAAAAAAATTGAGATGGAGGGGAAGGGTGTATAAATCAATGAATCAGGAATTTTGAATTCACAAAAATTATTATTGCTAGTAAAAATTAATTACCAGTAATACAAACATTTAAAGAGTGAAAGTATATTTATATCTTTATTTGAAAAAAAAAACCACAGCACAGTTCTTGAAATTACAATTTATAATATTTAAGAAACACCTAATCCCAATTTCTAAATAAAACACAGATGTAGCATTCTATCTTATTGGTGCTCCAGAACCAGCTAAAGTTGAATCTTCTTCTCGTTCTGCAGCATGCTGTTTCAGTTCTTGTTGTGTATGTACAAAATTAGACCACTCATCTGGCTTTGGGTTAGCAATGTGCTGGTGAGTTTATTTTTTAATTATGAAAAGCAGTTAACAAAATTAAAAAAAAAACAAAAACAACACAATAATTTGAAAAGACAACATATTTAAAACTTCTCACCTCCCCAACATCATAGATATGTATTCGTCCATTGTTATCTCCAACACTAATGTGATGACCTGTTTGGTGCCATCTACACTGATTCAATGCAGGTCGACCATCAATTGTAATAGATGCCGTCGGAACCTAACAAGAGTATGTAACATCTTGTATAAAATATCTTGGGGGGGGGGGGGGGGGGGAAAGGACACACAAAATATTTAAAATTTTGACAAGTAAAAAGAACCTGATATGTGAACAGATTTGAGTGATGCCCCCCCCCCCCCCCTTTGATCCACTCTCTCACCCACCTATTTATCTGCTGGCAATAGTTCTTGCAACATCCTCTGACCTACCAGGCTATCTAGTCAGAAATTATTAGGTGGCCGCCAACATGATTGGTCCACCCCAGGGGCTATAAAACAGCACAACCCCCCCCCCCCTTTATCCTGTCCAATGAATACCATGATCAGCACAACTGCCCATTACCCTACTAACCTGGGTACATGTGGATCCATGTGTAGTTAAATTTACGACATGCATCTAATGGAACCATAATTATTTTAACTGTCCATATTGAGGGGCTTCTATTCTGTTTCTGATGCTCAGAGAAAAATCATGGTGACATGCTTGTTTCATACCATCAAATCACAATGTAACTTCCCATTTTAGATGGAAATAATAATTTTTTTTAAATTAAATTTTCAGCCACAAAATGAAACAAAATCAACAAGGATGGCTTTCAACTTGTCACTTTTTATACGAAATTTCTTTTCATTTCTTCCCCCACAGATCCTTGGTGTGGTTGGATGGTTTATAATCCCAGCCTCAATGTGAGGTCTATAGTGTTAAAACCTCATGACCCAACACTGTTACTAAAATGACCAATACACATGAATTAGAATTTTGTATCACAAAGCCAATAATCACAAGAATTATCAAGAAGATGACTGCAAAGTGTTACACATTTGAGAAATGTGATGAATGGCAATGCATCACGTGTATTAGGAAAATATGCACTTTCAGTCTCAAAATAATCTATATATATAAAAAGCTATGTTTGTGTGTGAGTTTGTCTTTTATACATTACTACACCTTTCATCCAATCGGCATGAAACTTTGGGAGTTGTTGAGAAAACTTTTGGGTAGGTTTTTAAAAAAAAAAAAATTCGAATTCCCTGGGGTGGCGTCCTAAAAGGACGCAAATTCTCTTCTCTATATACGGTATATAAAAATAAAAGTCAATTGCAGTTTGACAGCGTTCATCCGATCACCGTGAAACTTTTGGGAGTTGATTAGAACACTCCAGGGAAGGGTTCTGCAAAAAAATATCTTTTTTTAATTTCGCATGGGCGGCGACCCCGGGAGGGTGCGATTTTTCTCAATATACGGTGTATGAAAATTAAAAGTCTGATAGAGTTTGGCACCGTTCATCCGAGTGCCATGAAACTTTGGGAAAATGTTGAGAATACTCCAAAAAAGGTTTTTGGTGGAATACCTTCAATTTTGCACAAGCTGCCCCCGGCATGGTGCGATTTAGTGCCCGCGCCTACGTTCATTTTAACAGTGAGATAGACTATGGATAAGATGCTGTGTTATAGTCATTCACTAAATTGAATCAGGTGCGTTAACCAGTACCCTAGCAGGGTGTGATTTGGCACCCTGGGCTTTTTTAGGCGGTAGTGTAGGTAAACCCATGCCCTGATAATTATGATCCAAGCGCAGGCATTGTTTACATTTAAATAACTCAGTTTTAGAACACAAGGTCACCTGTCCAAGAATATAGGATTAGTAAAGCATTGATAAAATGCTCCTAATATATTTCGTCTGATTTTAATCGTCTTTTATGCATTGCTACACCTTTCATCTGATGAACAACATTTATTAATAGTAATTGACTATAAGTAATGTTCAATTAATTCATTTACTGATAAATTATATTTTTTAAAACAATCTATATATATATATATATATATATATATAAAGTATGGGACAGAGTGGTCTAGTGGTAGAGAGCTGGACTGCTAAACCATAAGTCTCTAAATTGATTCCAGGTTCAAGTCAGTAGACCGTCCCTGAGCCCACCCAACTCGGATGGGTACCTAACTCACGTTAGGGAAAGTAAAGGCGGCTGGGCATAATGCTGCCCACACTATCTCTTCATATACCAAGGTCACAGAAACAAGTGAACTCTACTTCACTTGCCCTAGACTGTCAGGTTTGAAAAGGGAACTTTATATATATATATATATATATATATATATATATATATATATATATATATATATATATATATATATAAAGCAATGTATGTGTGTCTGTGTCTCTTACGCATTACTACACCTTTCATCCGATCGGCATGAAACTGGTAAGTTGTTGAGAATACACATGGAGAGGTTCTGCGGAAAAAATTTCAATTTTGCACAGGCGGCGCCCAGGCAGGGTACTATTTGGCCCCTTGGGTCATCCTGTGAGAGCTATGGCACCTGGATGTTTTAAAAAAGTACGATAGACTATGAATAAGATGGGGTATTAAGTCATTAACTAAACTGAATCACGCGCATTTGCCGGCGCCTGACAGGGTGCAATTTGACACCCTGGGCTATCCAGGTAGTGCTATGGCGCATATGTTAGTTTTAAAGAGTGTGATGGAATATGGAAAAGAAGTAGTATTATAGTCATTCAATAAATTGAATCAGGTGCGTCAGACCGCGCCCAGGTAAGGTGCGATTTGCCCCGGGCTATCCTGGGACTTTTTAAACCCCACGGCAACGTGCAAGGACGGGCACACTAGCATATAATAAAATAAAATATTTCACAATAATTTCAATATAGATGAGTCAGTCCTATTCCATTTAAAAATTAGATTGGTCACTAACCTCGGTTTCACTATTCAAATTCCACAAATCAAGCCGACCTTCTCCATCAACACTGGCAAAAAGTGCTGGGTGAACAGGGGACCACCTCACATCATACACATAATCATTATTGTCTTCAAAAGAATGTATGTAGTAAGGTTGCTGGAAAAAAGCACAAAAATAAACAGTAATTATTGACACCGCAGCATTTTTTCTAAATGTCTTTGCAGTTGAACATTTGGTGTGTTAATCTTGTAAAAGCTGCAGTCTTTTAGGTCATTTACTTGTGAAATTTTTCTGACATATAATGAAAAATGATAACGGGTATTACATTTGTTTTAACATACTGTTACTTAAAAAAAGAATCATCAGACCCACTATCATTTAATTTCAAGGATATACAGTAGTGGCTAATAATTATTTCTTGGAATAACCATTGAAAGGAGATCTCTAATTTGCAACATAAAGCAAACATTTGATAACATTTACCTTCATACTCCAAAGTTTGATAGTCCAATCAAATGAAGATGTCAGAAAATATGGAGAGAAATCTATTTGTCCTGGTACCTTGTGTGTGTCAATGCTAGTTATTGGTCCCTGGTGACCTTCAAAAAGATCATTGATACCAGCTTTGCTGAAATTTCAAAAGGAAAATAGTTTATAAAAATTGTAAAAATACCTAACATGAAAGGTTGCATAAATAGTTCTTTAAATAATAGTGCATAATTATATATTTAAAGAAAATCATTAATTTTCTCATTTTTAGTGCATGATTATATAAAACATTGTTAAAACCTTTTTTTATGAATGTTTCTTCAGTTCTTTAAAAATGTTAATACAATAGAGTTGCATGACTAAATTCAATTGCCCACCAACTGAACAGGAAAAATCTGCGCGCAAATAGTACTTTATACATGAAATTATTATACATGAAATTTTTATTAATTCTTTAAAAATTAATTAAGCATCTACTTAAGTCAAATTTGATGTCAGCTTGCACTGTCACATGCCAAATTTCAGAGAAATTAGTCGGTTAGAAGAGGTCAAAATTTCGCTCATTAGTTTCTGTCCAGACAGATAGATGGACAGAGAAAGCAAGTTGAATAAAATTTGTAAAAATGGGTAAATGGATAGAAAGATACTAAACTGTTATTACACAAGCAACAGTTCAAAAATGGAACACAAATCAGAATCACAAACCTGTTCTGCTGAAAACAATACTTTAAATGTAGAAGGCTAACAGAAGCCATCGCATTTCCTATGTTACATATCTAGTATATATCTTACTATGGTGCAACTGAAAAACTTAAAGTGTAATAGGCTACTAGATCTATATATTAAATTTGATTTCACAGTAAAAAAAGTAAATAAAAAAAAACATTTTGTAACAACGATTTCATTTGACAAGTATTACCTCCCATGTCTACATGCAGAGTAAGCAACACATTCTTCTGAACCAACAATAAAATTATTTGCATCTCCAGACAAGAAACTAAAGCATGTGGCAGCAACTGGTTTGTTTTGTTTTGACTGCAGCTCCATGCTATCCTAATATGAATGAAAAATGTACTGTTATTAAAGTAAGAATTATACTCAGAAATTATTCTACTGAAATAAAAGGGTAAAAAAAAACTACATTTAGTAAAATCTAATAAAAAGAAACAATTAAAAGGAGAATTTTTTATAACAGGGTTCACTTAACTTTTTGAAAAAAAATTCCAGAATTTAAAAAAAAACTCCACATTTTATACAGATAATAACGATTTAGCAACTGTTTATAAAATGGTGCAAATTTATACTCTCGTTTTACTTACACTATAATGACATTTATGGAGTTAACATTTATCTTTAAATTTCTTTTTCCAAATGTCAGAAAATTATTTTTCTAGGGCTGCCTACCCCGCCAAAGTTTTAAAGTGTTAAAGACTAATATCTCAGTATTTCTGAAATAATACCATTTTAAGACTTAAATAGTTTTTAAAGACCACTTTTTTAAAGCCAAATAGGCTTATCAAACAGCCATTTCTAAATATTAAATAGACTAATTAAGAATGCCATAGAAAGAACAGTGCTTATCGAAGCATAACATGAAAAATAATTAGGAAATTTTTTCAGATCAGGCTCAATAGGTTATTAAATTAGCAGCTCTAATATCATATTGCATTAGAGCACTTTTATGCCAATATTGTACTGATTAATATTTTGAGATGTATATTTATTTTTATTCTAAAATAATACTGAAGGTTATTTTAATTGTATTCAATATAAACATTTTAAAAATTTCACAATTTAAGAAAATTAACCCTCACCTATATCTATCTATCTATCTATATATATATATAAAAAGCAATGTATGTGTGTCTGTCTGTGTGTCTGTTTGTCCTTTATGCATTACTACACCTCTCATCACATCGCCGTGAAACTTTGGGAAGTTGTTGAAAATATTCCTGGGGAGGTTTCTGCGGAAAAAAAATTTCAAATTCGCAGGGGTGGCGCCCCGGCAGGGCGCGATTTGTTTTTCTCTATATACGGTATATAAAAATAATAAAAGTGAATTGCAGTGACACCGTTCACACGATCGCCATGAAACTTTGGAAAGATGTTGAGAATACTCCTGGGGAGGTTTTTGTGCAAAAACCATTTTTAAATTCGTAGGGGTGGCGGCCCGGCAGGGCGCGATTTGTTTTTCTCTATATACCGTATATAAAAATAAAAGTCGATTTTGGTTTGGCATCAGTCATCTGATAGCCAGGAGACTTTGGGGAGTTCATTATACCACTCTAGGGAAGGGTTTAAAAAAAATTTTTTTTTAATTTCGCAAGGGCGGCGCCACGGAGGATCCGATTTTTCTCTATATACGGTATATAAAAATAAAAGTCTATTCCAGTTTTACACCTTTCATCTGATAGCCATCAAACTTTGGGAAGTTGATTAGAACACCCCAGGGAAGGGTTCTGTAAAAAAAAAAAATCATTTTTAATTTCGCAAGGGCGGCGCCACGGGAGGGTCCGATTTTTCTCTATATACGGTATATAAAAATAAAAGTCTATTTCGGTTTCACACCATTCATCTGTGTACCATGAAACTTTGGGGAGATAATTAGATCACTCAATGGTAGGGTTCTGCAAAAAAAATATTGTTTAATACTGCAAGGGCGGCGCCGGGGGGGGGGGGGGGGGGGGGGGATTTTTTCTCTCTATACACGGTATATGCCATGAAACTTTTGGGAGTAGATGAGAATACTCCCGAGAATTTTTCTGCGAAAAAGAAAACTAAAGTTTCTTATGGGCAGCGCCATATAGGGTACAACTTTCGTCAATACACGGTTTGGCGCCCAGAGTTTTAGAGCGACAATGTTGGCACTTGGCATCCGTTAATCGAGCGTCCTGCATAGCGAGTAAGGGGTACTACTATATTCAGCAGTAAAACTACAACAGGCTTCTAAAAATAACTTTGTAACGCGAGGAAATCCTTCTGTACAGTTTCGTCACCTTGCCAAAGATGAAAAAATAACTTTTTGAATATGAGGAGCCTACTGTAGAGTTTCGTCACTTTGCGAATGATGCAATAAGCATCTATTATTAGACAATCCAGTCAGAAATTGAGATCGAACATCTAATAATAGACCATTAGTAACGCTAGCATATTGATCAGTCACACTGATGTTTAAAACACGTCAAATACTATTTTTACGTGTTAAAGAAAAAAATCCTGTTCATTTGTGTCACTTTAGCGAATGACGAAATCAGCATCATTATTAACAGGATACTATTTGGCACGATGGCGCCTGTTAGTTTTAAGGAGCCAGGGGTCGTAAGCCGCGCCTATACGGTAGTGTAATCGGGGGGTGGGGGCCCTGAGAGCGCCCCTCTACGTCTCTGACACATAGGCGGTCACCGAAGTGTGTTCTACCATATTATTTCGGGGAGTGATTAATGTACATTCAATGTTTTCATGCGGTAGTGTAGGTAAACCCGTGTCCCGATATTTATGATCCAAGCGCAGGCATTGTTTACATTTAAATAACTCACTTTTAGAAAAGACGGTCACGTGTCTTAGAACATATGATTGGTAAAGCGTTGCTGAAATCCTTCTAATACATTTCATCAAACTTACTTCTATCCCCGCGGCAACGCACGGGGGACGGGTACGCTAGTACTTTTATATAGAGAAAAATGATGGTGACAAATACAAAACCAATAAAAAGTGTACATAAGCATTGCTGAATGATCTATTATATTATAACAAAACATTTACACATCAGACTAGCAAAATTGCATGCATGATGGTTGTCTATTGATGTCATATAAAGTGGGGAGGGATTTTGGCAGACTTTTGTGACGTTGAGTAAGGGTAATAAACCGAGAGTGATCTCCCCTAAACTTTCTTGAATATTCTTATATAAAACAACAGGGAGTGGGAACTCTGGATATAGACATGATTTTTAATCCATTTTAAATACTTAAAACTTTTTAAAATAGAATAAAATCTCATAGAAAAAAGAATTGCACACCAAGTGAAATATGCATAATAGTGCGGAATATTACTAGTACTTTATAAATTTACATTCGTTTTTTGAGAAATCGGAAATAGCGTAATTACTACTTCCGGTCAATGGAAATTATTCAAAATTTGAAAGAAGGTAGAGAATTAGATCTTTTACTTACATGTGAAATTTCATTTATCTATCTGAAATAGTACTCTAGTTATAGGCTTTTGAAAAATTCAAAGAAGAAAAAGTACCACTTCCGGTTATCGGAAGTTGCTCAAAAGTTGATACGGATCTATGATTTTGATATGATACTTATATTTGAAATTTTATCAATCTAGCTGTAATGGTACTCAAGTTATTGTGTTTACAGACACACACACACATACACAGACATACGGACAAGATTGGAAAACTATGTTTTTCTGACTCAGGGAGGTGTAAAACGTCGAGATCTGCACAAATCTCAATTTGTTTTTTAAAGATTACAAGACTTTCTCTATAATTTGTATATAGGAGAAGGTAAAAGGGGTTGAAGAAATGTAACATAGCAGCCTTTTTGTACTTCTTAAAAATAAAGACACTAAACAAATGTTAATTTTCATTTTAATTTCAATAATGAGTTGGGGGTAAGATATTGGAATTTTGTGACATCACCATTTCAGTGGTGGGATCAGGCCTTAAGTGACATTTAAGTGACAGTTATTTTGGAAAAGTTTTTTTTCTAAAATTAAATTACAGACTTTTTAAAAGTCTGAAATTCTATTTTCAAAATTCCATATTTTTTACAACTTCCCAATTCCATGAACCCTGTTATAAGTATTTAACATAAAAAAAAAGGTTTGTACTTGCCTGTGGTTGAGAAAGCATATCCAAACTCCAAGAGCATAATTTTCCATCAGTTGACACACTAATTAAGTTGTGGGCGTTCTGAGTACCCACAACATTTACACAGTACACCGGATGCTGCAAAATTGATTTTTACTTGAACTGTATTTAGTACATTTTTTGTGTCATAGACTAAGCAAAGAGTATATGACTTATTTATTTTCTAACCTAATTATTCTGTGAAAATAAATTAAAAAATTAAAATAACAAGCTTTTTAATGCACTGAAACAACAAAATGTGTAAGAAATTTTATGAGCAATCAGTGCTTTGATTCTCATGTATTTAAAAGCTTAAAATTAATAACAATATGTAGGTTTTTACAGTTGTTTATTTTTTACTTTTTAGTAATTCTGAATTTCAAAATTTAAAAAAATAATAACTTGATATTTAAGTTTTTAAAAACAGTATTTTATGATTAAAAATAAATTGATATTATCATTTAGATTGGGTTTTTAAAACAAATGCTTTACTACCAAGCATGCAAGATGAGTGGTAAAAAAATCAGGCTGAGGAGATACGCATTTTCTTAATAGAATGGCAACATTTTAGAATACATTTTTAATAACCTTTTTGGGTAAAAATATGTAAGTAAGTAACTGAAAATTAGCAGTGGAAAAATTTGAAATGAATATTCAAATAAGGAAAATTTTTTGAATTAGCAGAAATTTGGAAAAGTTCTATCCCTGAAGATGAAACTTGCCTGTTTTGACAAGCTATTGTTAGATTGAGTGAAATTGTATTAACACCTGAAAAATCTGTTGCTCTATTTATAACAACATATACTTACTGTATGTGATGAGGCAGAAAGAGGAGTACGCTGTACTGGGGTACGTTTGTTCACCCTGTTGTCCCATAGCACTATTCGTCCTGAATATGTGCCACCAATAACAAGGTTAGGGTGAAACTGGGCAAAACATGTTGACATTACTGAAGACTGGAAATAAAATATGTGATCAAAAATATTTATTAAATATATGCAATTATAAGTTCTTGAGTTAGTAAATTAAAATTTTCTAGAATTATTACAATTGTAACCAATTTTTAATTAAGACCAATTAAGACTGTGTGAAAATGCAATGTCAAATAAAATGTGATTTTTAAATAACTTTTTAAAAAGTAATCTATATTTCCTTTAAAAAGTACTAATTTTCCACTGAATTATGCAAACATTGTTTGCATTCATTTTGGTGCGAAATTCTCTTTTCTATTGAAAAATAATGTAAGTATTAAAAACATTTATGAAGTCCAATTGCACTGAAAGTGCCAACCCCTTACTGTTATAAAAGAATATAGGAAAAAGTTTAAGGGAGATCATGCCTACTTTATTTCAGTTTGAATACTGAGCAATCCAGATTAGCAACATTTTAATGATCTCCCATCCCGCGTCCTTAAAGCTTGAAAATATTTTTACAACTCACTTGACAATGAAAAATGTATTCTGGTGCCATATTTTTGAATTTTAAATTCCAGATTAGAGCAACACCATCTGGATCATTTGGTGCATCCTCATTAGCATTATAAGAAGCAAGCAACAACTCTGGATACTGTAAATTAATAAAAAAATTAAAAATTAAAATATATTTTAGGTGATTTTTTTTAGGCCTAACAATCATAAATGCAAGTAAATGTGTATACAAATCAACAGTAAAACATTTTAAGAACCTTTTTGAGTGTTAAAATAACTCGACATTATATAATAAATATTTCTTCTTCTTTCTTCTTCATGCTTAATTTTTAGTGTTGGAAGGTATCGAGCCTTATCTGCCAGAGGGCTTGAACTCGAGACTTTTTTTTCTTCGAATTTATCAACCATGAGATTTTGCCGACTCGACCAAGCCTCCATCACAATTATGGATAAGTGTCAACAGGTTTTGCGCCATTGACTCCGATTTCAGCCTGCTTTTCTTTTTGGATTTGCTTCCATAGCCTTTGTCCAACCAAGAACAAACTACAAGACAGCAGTTGTTTGATTTTGGAGTTGTCTCTCCTAGAAGAGTGGCTGTCCCCAGCTAACGAGCCTCATCTGCCCGAGGGTTCGAACTCGAAACTTTTCGGTTGAGCAAGCTTGAGCTTTACAGACTCGACCACGCCATCCCCTATATAACATTTCAAAACAGGTTTTTACTTACTACCTTTTTTCAGTAGTTTATTAAACTATGTAGTACTACATACTAATCATTTTATGAAATTTCATTTCTATTTGTATTTTTATTATTATTATGTTTAATAAGTTAAATCTAGACCAAAATCTTGTCTAATAACAAAATGCTCTTATCTCTTAGAGCAGGGCCTCCGTGGCCTAATTTCTCCCATTTTCTGAGCTCCCAGGCCCAAACCAATTTTCACTTATCTGCTTCTAGCTTTGCCTAATCAAGCCACATTTGATATCAAGGCTCAGTAGCAAACAACAATTCATCAAGATTCGGAAATTCTTTGTTTTTTTAAAATCCAAGATGGTGGCCGTTTTGGATTTCTTCAAAAGCCTACAACTTTGGAATCGTTTGAGAATATCAAGCCAAATTTGGTATCCAGGCTCAGGATCAAACAACAATTCAGCAAGATTCTGAAATTCTTTTTTTTTTTTTACAATGTATGAACATAACAATGTATATAAAAAGAACACAGTCAGTGGCTGTGACTCAGTTTGCCGTTTTGGCGGCATTGCTTAAAAAAAATTATTTGTACAACAAAAGTTTGCACTAATGAAATATTTATATACCAATAATGGTTTTATATACTAACTAAGCATCATGACAAAACTAGAGCAACTTACCTATTTACTGTTATTATAATAATAATTATAAACTGAATAATAAAATAATATATAATAACAGATTTTTTGTGTGTTGACAATGTATTTTACAAAATGCAAACACTTTTACTTTCAACTTTCCCCAAAATCTGTTTTTAGAATCATAATCTTGCACTAAATAGACATGTGCCCTTTTTATTCATTACACCGCAAATTATATTTAATAAGAAGATATACCTGCCCCTAGGACTATGATGCTAGATCATCGGGCCGAAAAATTGGCTTTTTGTTTGGACATACATGCCTAATTTTGAAGCCGGTTTTCCGGCTTGTCTGGCTCAAAGGGTTAAAATAACACAACATAACACAAACAATTATACTCTTTTCCTTGCTAGTAAAACGTGATAAATTAAAAAAAAAAGGCACATATTGAAATAAATTCATACAACCTGTGGTGACCAATCCATACTGGTAATTGTTCTACGCCTTGACCAACGCTCATCAAAGAACTCTAATTGCAGTTTTAATCTTTCCCCAGCAAGCGCATCACTAAACAAAATGATCCAAGTAATTATATATTTATGCGATTAATTTAAATTATAATGAAAATCACCATATTAAGTGAATAACATTAAAATTTAAATTCTTGGTACTTAAATTTATTAAATATTTTAACATCATTCAACGTTAAATTTTAAAAACTGAATAATTGGAATGAAAATATCAAAGTGATTTGAGGTAAACAAATATTCTATTACAAGGTTACTGTGCTTTAAGAAAAATGTCCTCACTTACTCATCTTTACCCTCATTATCACCTCCACTATAATCTATTGTTAGTCCACTATCATTTACAGCAAGCAGACGTTGCATTACACGTGCAGCCCTGGTAACACTCAGTTGGTAATCTTCAGACATCATGATCTGTTTTTTTTCCTCTTCACTGAGTTCTCTAATTGAGCCTAAGACAATTTAATAACAAAAATAAACTTCATTTTACATGTATGTCAAGACAAATGAGATTGTCAAACAAAAGTTCATAAAATGTTCTAGTTTTATTATAGCCTACTTCTTAAATGCAATGTCATTGTTAGTGTATGAAAACAAATGAAACTTCAGGATTTTTCAAGTAATATTTTTAATTTATTGAAATTGACATTTGCTGGTTCATTCTAAAATTAAGTAACTAATAGCAATATTAATGAAAAGAAATGTTTAAACTCTACAGAATAAATTGATAAATGAACTTAAGGTTTGAGCTAAGTCAAATGTTTAATAATGTATATTCCTTTGTAAGGCTTCACTAAAACAAAATAATTATAATTAAAACACATTTTTAAAAATAAATTCAATTCACTGGAATAAATAAAATGTATTTTAACATTCACATACATTAATAAGCAAAATACAGGTTAAATTACACATGTTATATTTTTCTATGTGGGAAATCATTAGCTTTTTTTAAAAATTTAGTGGCAAGTATATTATTTTTAATTGTTAATAAAAAAATAAATGAAAATGAACTTTCTTACTTTGCACAATCTCATCTTTTTTCTCCCCCTCTGAACTTGCAGGAGCAACCATCTCAACACGTGGCATCCGGTGAGCAGCATTTGGCAGATGTGCTGTGTCTGCACTAACATCCAGAGAATCTGTATCATCATCTGTATGGTCCGCATTGTCATAAACCAAAACTGATATGTTAATAATTTCTTTCAGCTGCTCAATAACTAATTCTAAAAATGTGTAACAATTTCTTATCAACAATCATATGATAGGAATTACTAGGAAAGGTTAATTTTACAAGACATATCTCATAGACTGGAACTATTCTCTGCCAATGTTTTTCTTTTTCATATTTTTCATTAGGCATATATACCATAACACAAATTTTAATTATTTAAAAAAAGTTTTTAAGCTGTAGAAATTGCTCATACAATTTTTCTGCCATTTTCTATAACTCATTTTTCATACTTTCCAAATGCCAGTTATAATATAAAATATTCGGAAAAATAAATAAATAAAAGGTGATAGTTTAAAAAGTCCCTTTATAGTGAAAATTAACATAATATTTTTTATGACTCTAAGACAGTAAGATTTTTAAGCTAAAAGATAATGAATGCATAGATAATAAAGAGTACTTTTTCGTCAATACTGATCAATTACAACAATTTAAATATATAAAAACAAGAGGTAGTGGCATGCTACTAGTAAATTGGTTCATTAGCTCTTCCCCATTTTGTAATAACAAGGCTGATTATATACAATATTTAAAAAAAATATTTTTTGTTTGTTTGGTAACTGCCAAGGGAAGTAGTTAAAACATTTTGCTCAAGTTTTTATAACAGCACTTTATAGTGAGTGTTGAATTTATATAAATGTGATTTTTGTTACATATGTTTTAATGGTGTTGTGTTTGGTTATAAGAATTTAAAATTAACAAATAAAAAAAAACCCACAATGTTATTTTTATGAAGTAAATCATTGTGTGAATTACGTAATTATTAAAGCTAATATCTCTCAATAAACAAAGTTTGTACAGTATAAAAAAGGCTCTAAGCATGCACTTGCATTAAAAATCAAATAAGTACAAACATTTACGTTAAAAACTTATTTTTATATCCGGTTTCAAACCTGTTATATAAGTAAGTACTTTGAATATACTTGTATGTGTGTGTGCAATTTTATAAAAGGTTTATCTGCTTGTTTGAAGTTGTCAAGTTGTGAGCCTGGAAATGCGCCACATAGAAGTCTTGAATTCAGTTCCCTCCCTTGAATCTATCAGCCCATCTAGCACTGATTGTAGTAAAGTAAAATGTACAGGCTACACAATTCTTTTACGTGCAGTGGCCCAAAAAACAACTCTGTATTATTTTTAAATATACATTTTTATGCTTACAGATATATATTATATAATTATTATTATGTTGGAATGTATGTTGCTTATAAAAAGGATGGCTCTGTTGTTTTTCTAATTTAAAAAAACATATTTACATATTTTTAAAAGAATTTATTAAAAAATTTAATTCAATTTTAAAATTTTAGCAGCAAAAGGTTGCTGATCCAATAAAATTATTTTTTAAATGAGACAAGCTATATAAGAAATTAAAAGAATGGGTCACTTATTTAAAAAAAAATCCCAAACAAAAATGGTACCAGATGAGCAGAATGTAAATCACAACCAAAAAAAAACCCCATTTAAAATACATAATATTCCAACATTCCCACAAAGAAAACATTTAAAAACTGTATCCTAGGATATTTTACTGCACATGATATCTAAATGTTCTTCCAGAATGCCAGGCGTACTTAAAATAGCAAAAAACAATTATGCCACAAAGGAACTGATTAATAGGCCGGGATACAGTCAGTAAAATTTGTGGATCATATTATCTTGAAACAGTCTATAAACTAAATAAATAAAAATCATCTTATTTAATTATCTTAAAATTCTTAGAATAAAGTTCAGTGTGTATAAAAGAAAAATCCAAAATACAATGGTAAGTCAGGTAAAATGTACAGATATGAGCTCTAGCAAAGACCTGATGTGCTGAATGATATATTTAAAAAAAATCTAAATTGTCAACAATGATCTAAAAGTGATTAAGAAACAAATTGTGAAAGTTATCAAGACCATTTTCCAGTTTAATTGTCATATAGTTTTACATTTTTAAAATAATTATTATCCAATCTAAGATAAATAAATATTATCAAAATGAACAACTTCCCAATACTATGTCTCTGTTTGCCTGACATGCAAAATAAGGATTCAGCTAACACTGATAGAGTTAGGTCACATAATATCTTTCATATTCTCGTTTAATGATTTTCAAATACTAATGAAGGACAGATACACAAGAAGTGTAGATCATGTTTTGAAACATAAAACCTTTGCGTCAAATATTTCTATGACCTATAAGTTAAATGATACTCTTTAATTTACTTCTGACACACAACATATATTAAGGAAAAAACAAAAAGAACTATACAATACTATACATCAAGGAAAAGAATGATAAACTACAATACTTAATAAAAATGTGCGCAATGATTTATTATCAGTATAAAAAAGCTAAAAAAATGTTTGATATATAATATATATACATATATATATAACATGCTATGTATATACATATATATATATATATATACACACATACATACATGTATATATACATATATGTGTGTATTTATCATTTCTCAGCTTAATAAATGCACCACCTCAAGTTACTAATGTCTTGATCGATAATACAACCTAGATATAAACATGTTTTTAAAATACTATTACTTGCAATACTGATGAGCCGTGCTTTGCAAAAAATGATTGTTTTATTATTTTTAAATGCTAAAAATCTACCTTTTTACCATCCAACTGTGGATTTCCAATTCTATTATTTTGCATCAATTTTTAATCCTCTATTTACTTCATAATTAACCATTAAACAATTCATAGTAAATATTTACATGCTGTTAAATAGGACTATGTTTCATTGCTTGTTGGATTATTTAAAAACCAATTGTTTGAAAACTTAAAGGTAAATAACAACAACAGTAATTTTTCAATCTTTCAAGTGTAATTCATTTTTTTTATATTAATGACATCTCACTCATTTGTTTTAGTCTTATAAATATATGCTCAAAAAATTTTGAGCCCAGTTTTTAAGTTAAGCCAATAGTAACAAATTACTTGAATATCTAATGCAATGTCATTTATTAAGAAATAATTATTAAATAGTAAATAGATATACGCGTTGGATGGTATTTCTCTGAAACTTTACATTTTAGGTTATTATTTTTATATACTAATTATGTCATAAATATAGTTTTAAAATAAAATAAGTATCAAAAAATTTCAAAATATACTTATTATTACGTGCTCTTAAAAAAACTTTCCGTATGTTTTTAAACACAGCAACCAACAATTTCTAATAAGTTGTTTCTGATGAAAGCAAGTGCCTATTCAAGCACTTTTCTCATATCAAAATTTGCACAAATTTTAAATTTAAAAAAAAAGTGGAAATTAAAATAATAGCATTAATAAAAAGCAGAATGGACAACTTACTCACAAAAGTTGTACTACTAATAATAGACTGGTTTAGTGGTGTGATTCATGCAACTACTAAAATCATTAATACATGATTGAGAAATCTTTAGATTGAATTTGGTAACTTCAAAATATTTATTGTTTGTAATAATCTAAGAATATGGTTAAAGGAAACATTTTAGAAAAGTGTAATAAAATGTTAATAAAAAAAATAATTCAAATCTACAATTATACTTTTCGTTGCAAGTAAACACATGCATACACTGAAGTGTAACTTTGACCACTTCTTTTTGTTTAAATTTCCCTTACATATTTTTTTTAAAATGATTATATTACTAGATCTAAGTGGTGGAAAATACAGAACAGTAAAGGGGTCTAGGTAAAAAACTTGTTTATAATGTATCCAATTTTATATGCATTCATCCAGGCACATGCAATAGTTAAGAAATCTTGTTTCAGAAATAGGAAGATTAATGGTTACAAGTATTATTAGATTAGTAACATAAGCAAAATTCATTTTTTTAACATAGAAAACTTGATTTCTCACTTAATTAAAAAATGAAAAACCATCAACTTTACTTTTTTTACATAGTTTGTGTTAGTATTATTGTATTACTTATGGTTGAGTATTTATTTACAATCAGCACACTAAAATGTAGTTTCTCTGTGAAATCATTTACTAACAAAATTATAAGTTTTCTAATATTGGATAATATATTTTTTGGGTACAAGATATTTAAAATTGAGACCGGATAAAATATTTTGTATCAAACTCAACTTATAGTTCAAAAATATTAATGGCCACATCAATATCCAATTCTCAGTAGATAAAGACAAGTCAACAGGCATTCAGAATAAATGTCAGCCATGAAGTATTTAAATACAATTTTGTTTAAAACGTAAATTTAAAAAGTTTTAAATTTACAAACAGAACCACAACAAAGAGTTACAAAAGAAACTAAGCTGAGGATGGATTAATTAAAGACTTTATACACAAAAATAGCTCATGGAAGCATGCAACTAAACTGCTAGTTAGAACTGCTTCAAAGCAAGGTTTTTGTTTTAAATATCTCATTCATTATAAGTTTAATCAAGAAGAAAAGTAATAACCAATGTATCAAAAGTTATTCCAAAGGTATTGTTTGAAGTTCAAACTGATGTTTATAATCCAGAGATCTTCTTAAAAATTCTTTTCTGTTCTCTCTTTTCTCAGAAATACAAATATACATTATTGAAGATACATTACTATCTTTTCAGGGATGTGACCAGACCATGAGTTTTAGTTCATGTGATGGAAAATGAAATCGACCAGATTAGCTGTAATTAGAAAAGGTCTGATATTTATTTTAAAAAGTGTTTTGGAATTAATAGTTGTAAAAACATGTGAACCAAAATTAACCATTTTGATAGCCAAGCCACATTGTTATTTATGCTTTTGGATAGTAGTACACTGTTATTTGAAATAGTTGGTATCTTATTTTCCTTCCACAAACAAGGCATGGTCAGGGTCACTGTGGGTTAACATTAGCTTCAAAATAAGTAGGCCTATAGCATACATAATAGCAGGAACATAGCTATTTGACATTAACCATGACATCATTTTTATATTTCCCCAAACAAGCAGTACCAAATATGTACTTGGGGGTCATGGCGAGGTCACAAGAGCGGCCGTTGTTATAAGTAGTGGCAGGTTAGTCTAGTGTTGTGAAGTGAAGTTGAGGAAGGGGTTGAACATAGATTACTTGATGAGATCGCATCATTTTATTTCATTCTTTATTGCACATGACATCCACTAGATAAACATGGACGACAACTTTCACAACATATATGAAGACTACATTCACTAGGACAAGGCAAACACTTCCAAACCCTAACAAAACAAGAAGCAAACTATCCTTCTTCCCCCAGCAACAAGATACTACTGTCAAATGTTATATCCTTATGTATCTCGTCACAATCTTTATCTCATCACAGAGTCTCAATCTTTTATTAATATCAAATCATTCTACAACACACATACTTTCATACCATTGCAATACACTGAGATACCATTCATAACACAGATGGTTTTCAAATACTGGTAGATAAATTTACTTAAAGTTATATTAACAAGCATGCAAGTTTATCGGTAAAGAAACCAGGCTTTGGAGATGTATTTTTCATTTAATGCGCAGCAACATTTTATTCAGAATATTGACCTAGGTTTTAATATTTACCGTAAGAACTAGTGTAAACATATCTTCTGTTTTAACTAGTATTTATACTGCAGGCCAAGTGTAATACTCTATTTTAATAGGAATTTGTGGAGTATGCATGTCGGCTGTTTCCGTAGAGGTCATTGCCATTTTTTTATACAAATTTCTAAAATTTGTAAAAAAAATTACCATAAATTAAGCAGAAATTGAAAATCAGAGGAAAACTTCAGAGAAAATTAAAATTAGCAGAGGAAAATTGCAAGGGGAAAAAAATCAGATTCTCCCTAAAAGTCACATCCCTGATCTTTTTTTATCAACAATATACCTGGATTTAGCATCGAATAGCTTGACTTCATAATGAAATAATAATTTTAAAATATATTTTCAATTTCAACAATTATAAAAAAATTTAAATATACAATTGCTATTAAAACTTAGAAGTAGCTCTAACTCACCTAATATAATTTTAAAACATCTATTAATTATAAATGGAACAAATTATTATTTTAAAAGGCCCATTGCTTGCGTACTGATTCATATTTTTTATGTTTTATATAAAAATAAATATTTTTTTAAAATTAAAAAGAGACTTAAACACATTTTTTCAAGAAACAGGCCTTGCAAACAAGGTAGGCAAAAATATAAGGTCAACAAAAATAAACAACATTGCCACCTTCACCATACCTTCATCCAAATCATCAAAAAATTCATCATCCCATTCCATATGAGGATGAACAAATTTTGGGGACCCAAAGCCTACAAAATGGGAGAAAGGGTAATGGCATAAAAGCAAAATGTCAGTTTTAAAGTTTAAAAAAATCTTTAAATGCATCTCAGTATAAAAACATGCAATTTAACATAGTTGATTTCTCTTTCAGGGACTCTTCATTAATACTACTTTTAAAATCATTACTTAAAAACCCCATTGAATTTAATAAATAATGCTTTTGAATATATGCACCTTATAGATTAGAAAATTACCACCTTGAAATGTCTAATATGCAGATCATATTTTTAAAGAAACTAAAAACACACACACATCTAAAAATTGGACAGACAGATATAAATATTTTTTTCTTATTCCTAATTTTGCTATCATTGTTAAGAAGAAACCTTTTTTAAAAAATTGGGATTATATTTTTACCACTGAAGCATTTGCATAAGAATGCACTGAAGTAGATGGAGGCAGTTTTAAAAGACAAAGCGCAAGCTTGTAATTCACTGATGTCATTCAACTCTTAAGTGATGTAAATATTGTGAAGATTAATGATATTGTCTAAGAACAGAGTTTATTAAGAACATAATTAAAGAAAAAAATTTAATAAACTATATTTCTCAATCTGTGCTGGTGTTTCATTAGATATTCACTAATGCTATCGGTTCTATTAAAATCAAAGCACACATGATCTAAAAATGTTGCAAATAAGTAACAGCACAGGCAAAGCTACCAAAAAAAAAAAGCTGCCAACAAAACAAAACAAACCACAATACAGGGAAAACATTTTTGAAATGTCAACCATAAAATCAGTATACAGTAAAATTTTAGCTTAAATTTGTAACTTTAACAGTTATCAAGTATAACAGTTAAAACTATTAATAAAGCTTAACATTAAAAAAAATGAGCTGTACACTTTACAGTTACTTGGAAAGCGAGTTATCCTACTGCTACTGTACACATCCATCCACCCATGCCAGATACTCAGATTGAAAGTTTTTTAAAGTATCAGATTAGCATTTTCCCACCTTCTGTTTTTTTTACCTCTAAGAAATCAGACAAAGTTGAAGCATAATATTGCATTTACTTGTCTCTGAGCATATGACATAGTATTTGTATACCCATTAATTTCTTGCAGATGATATTGTTATAAGTGAATTACTTAAAGATTACTTAGAAGTTACACATGTTGAGGGCATGATGAATAGTTAAAGCTTTTTACTCTCTCGTATACGAAGTATAGAGGAAGTATTGCAATGGTGCAAAAAATCGAAATCGAGATTTTCACAAATCTAGACGTTTTACACCTCCCTGAGTCGGAAAAACATAGTTTTGCAATTTTGACTGTATGTCTGTGTGTGTGTGTGTATGTGTGTCTGTAAACACCATAACTTGAGTACAATTACAACTATGTTGATGAAATTTCATATAAAAGTATTATATCCAATTTGTATTTCTGTTTTAACTTTTCAGCAATTTTGATAACCGGAAGTGGGACTTATTCTACTTTTAGTTTTTCAAAAGCCTAAACTTGAGTACTGTTTCAGATAAATAAACTAAATTTCATATAAGTAAAAGATCTAATTTTCTGCCTTCTGTCAAATTTTGAGTCATTTCCGCTAACCGGAAGTAGTACTTACAAGTAGTACTTACGCTATTTCCGATTTAAAAAAAAACGAGAATGAATTTATAAAGTACTAACGTTCCGCACTATTATACACATATTCTTTGCCATTCACTCTGTGCGTAATTCTTTCTTCTACAAGATTCTATTCTATTTTAAAAAGCTAAAGTAATTAAACATGGATTAAAAATCATGTGTATATCCTGAGTTGCCATCCCTCATAGTGTTATATAAGAATATTCGTGACAGTTTAGGGGAGATCACTCCTGGTTTACTTAACCTATAGTCTGAAAATTAACAGATGCGTAAAGTTACTTAAGCAAATGTAAGGTAATCTGCTCAATGAAATATGTGGAGACTGTCTCTATCAAAGGCAAGCAGCCCAAACAGAGGTAAGGAAGATAGCAGAAGCAAATGTATAGATGGTATCCCAAACAAATGCAATGCTTGAGAATGACACAAACACCATTAAATAAAAAACGATTTACAAGAAGTTCTAAGCCCTCATTTGGCAACTTGCTTTCTTTTGTTACATATAAATAACTAGTATTATATACCAGAAAAAAGAATTAAATTAATGCTCAACTAGTATTAGGATGTCGCTTGACCAACCTTTTTTAATGTCGTCATGGTAATAATGGCCACCAAAACCAACATAATAATAAACCACCCCACCACACACACAGAAGGTTATTAATTTGTTAATTAGAAATACACTGATAATTATAAATAAAATCATTGTTTCCATTTACTTTAATCCCATAAGCTTTTGAAACCTAATGTGGAAAAACTGGGAGCAGTGTACTTATTTTGAAAACATAGCTAAATACAACATTTAGAAAGTCAAAAATATTTGTATCTAAATAAGCAAGCAGGCATAGTGAAAGGTAACTTTTAATTGAGCTTAATATTAATGACAATTTTAGTTGTAGAAATACCAATATTTAAAAATATTCATGACTGTAAAGTAAAAGGGTTAACTAGGGTTCTCAATACATTTCCAATATCACAAAACACCTTTAGTCTATTTTTCATTTTATAATTTATTTGTATATGCAGTATTATCATCTGGAAACGACTAATTATTCATGCACCTTTTCCATTTTATAGAATGTTTTAAACTCCAGTAAGTATATTTAATATTTATATTTTCCTATTATAGTTAGTAAAAGTTAGTATAGTTAGAAATAGTTGTCTATAAATACTATAATCGAAATCACCCAACTTTTAAGCATTTTGAAGGTTTTTTTTTTTGCCTAAGGATGAATTTTATGAGAGTGCCATTCTACATATTAAATTAATTTTTAATCAGATGTTAAATTCTTGAAATTACAATACTCATATTTTTAATGTTTTAAACAATTAACAGCTGTCTAACATCTGGATATAAACAAAGTTTACATATTCATTTTGCATTTAAAATATAATAAAAGCTAGCATTTTCTTGCAATAAGACAAAACAATTTTAAAATGAGTTAAGGAATAATAAATTATTTGGTAACTGCAAGATGAGATGGTGCATTCATAAGATATACGGTATTGAAAACAAAACATTTGTAAGCTTTACAAATGAGAAGACTTTTAGATTTTAAAAATTTCATGCATTTAACAAGATCAGTTGATTCAATATTTAAAGAAAAGCAGTTTCCACAAAATGCAATATTTTGGAAATTGAGTAGGCTACTAGGGAAATGATAATTATTTTGACTTTTAAAGTAAGTAAAGAAAATAATTTTAAAGTATATTAGATCCACCTGCCCACCTAAACCATTTCAGCAAAATACTTACCGTAATAATCCCATGGTCCACGGCCTTGAAGGCAAAGGTAAATTGTTAAGACATGGATAATAGTTAGATTAGTATTTATTGTTTTTTATACCCAAAGCAGTAATGTGCCACATACATCACTAGTTTTATCACAAAATAATACACTAGCATTTGCAAGAAAGTATAAAATGACACATAAAAATAGCAATCACAAAAATCATATGCATAAGTTTTTACTGTATCTATTATTTAAGTATTTCATACCAAACACTTTGTATCTAAAGATTTTAAAGAATTATATAATTTTTTAATTAGTACAATCAAAGATTCAGATGTGAAATCTAAACTTATAATAACATTTCAATTTTAATATAAATAAACACATTTAAATATTAAATTATCTTCTTATTGAAGTAAAACTTAAGTTTTCTTAATTACAGAAAAATGCAACAATCATGCACCAGATCTAAAAGATTTAAATTTTTTTCAAGCTACTTATTTGCATTTTTTTTTGACATTGTTTCAAACAAACTTCTAATTACTAAATAGTCATAATGTTATCATAAGAGATCACTGCTGTTTACGTTTGAGTCTGTGTTTGCGTGTTGCTTTTGGGTTTGTGTTTGCATTTGTGTTAGTGTTTGCGTGTTGCTTGTGTGTGTTTGCATTTGAGTTTGTGTTGCAATTGGGTTTTTTGTGTTTGTGTGTTGGGTTTGCGTTAGCGTTTGAGTTTTTTGTGTGGTTGTGTTGGCATTTGAGTTTGTGTTGCGTTGTGTTTGCGATTGTTTTTTCCTGTTGTATAAGCATTAGCGTTTGCATACTTTTTGTGTGTTTATGTTTGCGTTTTCATTTGTTGCGCTTTTTTGTTTGTGTTTTCATTTGTGTTTGGCTTTAATCTGTTCCCAAGTTGGTACATCTAAAAAAGATTCACCGTGGCAGAGCACAGGTATGCAGCATATATATATATATATATATATATATATATATATATATATATATATATATATATATATATATATAGATAGATATATATAGATATATATATATAGATATATATATATTACTTTTATTGACATTTTTTAATGAATTTATAATGAAATTTGTAAACAAAAAAAATTCTTAACTCTTGTAAAAATTTTCTACAAATTTTAATTTTAAACATGGTTCACTTTATTGTGGTTAATGCTATTAATCCTCCTAGTTAAACTAGTTTGTTTATGGGTTTAACAAACTTCATTAGGAGCAAAGTTTTTATTTAGGTTGACCATTTGTCTTTTTAACTGTCTGCAGCAACAATTCAATCCAAATGTGAAGTGTATATGGCTAAGGGCAAACCAAGTTGTAAACCAAGAAAAGTTTGAAGGTTCAAAAAATGTACCTTTTCTTTAATAAAAAATACCTATTTTCATTGACTTAATTCATTCACAATTCCGACTTTATGCATATTGTCTTTGGTGCCTTTTTAAATCCAAATAAAGTGGAGAGACTTTTTAAAATTTTTATGGTTAGGAGCTTCTAAGACAAAAAACTATGTATTTTTTAGAAATAACAGTAGAGGATATAGATATAAAAGACAACATTTAAATATATTCAATCAAGCATTATTTTCATGCTGCATAGCTGCCATAACAATGTAAAAGCAATTGCATGTGTATTATGAATACATCCACTCTGTGTAAAAGATAAAATTTCAGCACATAGCAAAACTATTACAGTAAACTAAAATACAGTAGACTTAACAGTGCAACACCAACTAGTCATACACATCTAGAATTTAACTTTAAACTTGTATCAGTTACAAAAAAAAAAGAAATTAAATAATTTAGAGCTATCCATAAAAATATAAACCCTTTCTAGACTAGAACTTAAATTTGAAGATTTAGTTCTCAATAATGAAATTATACCTAACATAAGATGTTTAATCTAAGCTTTGAACATTTCATTTACACTTTAAAAATACATTTCTAAATCCACAAGAAAATACTTTATGTGTTAAAGGATAATATTTTTACATTAATGTGAACTAAAAAGTAAACTTCTTAATATTTTATATTGGAAAAACAATTATTCCAAAGCTTTTGGGATAAACACATATTAACAAACTACTCACTTCCATGCGAGTGAGATCGTTTTCTTTTACCTAGTGGGTGAAAAAAAATATTTAATTCTATAGTTTTTTAGAATTTGGCCAAAAAAATCTGCTAATTCATGAGTAAACAGATTTAAGCAGTAATCTAGACCTTTAAAAATAAACGAAGAGCCAAAAAACGTAATATTAATTTCAATAAAGAAATTATTAAAAAGAGCATTTTATTCAAAGCACAACCTTTTTACTTTTAAAGTATGATTTACATATCAATTTGAAAATAACTGTCTTGATATATTCAAATTAAAAATTAAAAACTGTAGTTTAAGAGACACTTAAATCTCCTGATTGTGTTACAATTTTTTTAAAGCATAAAATATGTGTTTATCTTAAAATACTACTTGATTTTAAGAATTAATTTACAAGAATTCATGAAAAAACATTTTTTTTTTCATAAACTAAAAGTAAAACCAAGAGGTATAATCAATTTGTGTAAATGCTGTCAAAAATATATTCAATAAAAATAACAAAATTTTTTAAAAAGTATGATAGTTTAGAGTATGGTCTACTTTACAAAGTTATTTGCTGTAATCCTATGTGCATGTTATAAAAACATTTTATAAGAGTAAATAATAAGATTTGCTTTATTGAAGATTAGCTAGCTAACTTAAGAAAACTGTCGATTTTGTTAAAAATGTCAATGCAACAGAGGGTACTCTTATCAGTTAAAATAAAATAAATGCAATTTGGTCATATTTAACAATAAACATATGTTTGCCATTTAAATGACCAATGATATAAGTACATAACAGCTGTTAGTTTGCAAGAGACATTTTAAACAAATATATCTGCACAAGTTTACAATTTAGTAACATGATAGAAATTGAACTCAAAAGGGGGAAGGTGGCATTTATCTGAGTTCATTTAACAAAAAAAAAGTTGGATTGGTTTGAAATTGATATGAGAAGTAATACCCGTACCCCACATTAAAAACACTTATTACAAAGAAATTCACAATTTTCTTAACACATATTTAAGGAAATTTAAATAATATGCTTGCATTTTCAATCAAACAAATGTGTTTAATATATTTGGTTTCAGATGGCAGAGGCGCAATTAAAAACATTCTTGCTTATGGCTAATGATTTAGAATAAGTTAAACTTTCAAGTTTATATTGCTATGAAAATAAAATGATGAATTTTTTAGTAATAAATATCTGCTTTCAATAACTTTAAATGATAAGCTACTTTTATTTATAATTTTATACATGAACTTTTTGAAAGAAACTTTTTTAAGCAACACACAAGTCAACAGCTATAAATAATATATTGTAACTTGCTTTTTATTAATTATAGTTTATAACTAAAGCATTCAAAAGTCACAGGCTATTATTTTATGTATACTAAATATATATTTAATGTAACTGATTGTCAAAACTAATCTTTAAATTGTGATTTTTATTGGCTGTTACAAACAAAGAAAACACATTGGATTTGTGCCTTTTAATTGTATGTTTTGCTTCTTTGGTAAAAAAATATAATTAGACAATATAAACTTACCATCTTTTTCAATAGGTTCTGGATTAATAGTCTGTGTTTCTTTACTGTAAGACACATTTTCTCTTGGTGGAATATTAGTTTCATTCACTTTTACTATGCTTAACTGAATATTTCTCCTCTTTGGGCTAATGAGAAAACAAGCATTGTTTCTTTAAAATAATTCTAAAATATTTTTTTTTTGTATAAAAAGTCAAGAAAAAATTATGAAAATTGAACAACTTATTAAACACTGAGGCTTTTATTTTTTGTCATACCAGTATATAGTTTTAGTAAGGTTACACCATGAACAGGGATATGACCAGACCAGGAAAAAAATTAGGAAATTTTCTTCGGACTAGAACCCAATGTTTTATGTATTATTTATAGCAATTAAAGCAGTCTCACATCATTACTTTACTAATTAATTGTTTAATATTTATAGCTAATATTTTAAATAAAAGCAGTTAATGTTACTCTAAAATAACATTGAAAGTCTTGTCTAATTGCATTTTAATGTTTACCTTATTAACAAGTTTCAAAACAAATATTTTTACAATGTAACAAAAGTGGCAATTAAGTTTTATTTCAACATTAAGCTAATTTAAACTGTAATGATCTAGTTGTAATCTTGTTTTCAATTATAAATTATGTCTTTTAAAGATTGACATTGTAAAAATGTAAGTCTTTAACGGTAAAGAGACTGGATTTAGATTAACTGTAATTTTAAACTTTTGGTTCATGTGATGGAAAATGAAATGAACCAGATTAGCTGAAATTAGAAAAGGTCAGATATTTGAACCAAAATTAACCATTTTGATAGCCAAGTCACATCATTATTAATGTTTTTAGAATAGCTGTTAGGAGTCGTCTATAAATGAATCACTCTTTTTTGACGATTTTTACCTCCTCTCTCCCCTCCGTCATAAAATTCAGACCCTCGCAAATGATGTCACACCTCAGCCAACAAACATGCACATGCGCACACCCCCCCCCCCCCCACCTCAAAGTTGAATTTAAATTTTTTTTTAAACATCGTTTTTTTTTCTAAAATATTGACTGAGCTCAAACAACATGGGGTATATTAATCAATGTATATCACAACTGTTTAAAATAATTTTCTAAAACATGCTATAGCTAAAATTAACTTTCAACATTATTTTTTTTAAAAATATGACGTCACACTCTGACCCCCCCCCCTCCCCCTCATCACAAGCCACAAAATTGTGGTTTTCCCACCCCCTCCCCCTTGAGTAGCATTATTTATGGAAGATCCCTTATTAAAACAGTGATTATCCTATTTTTTTCTTCCACAAACAAGACACTGTCAGAGTCACATTGAGTTCTGTAGGCCTGTAGCTATTGCATGTAAAGCTATTTGAAATTAGTGTTTTTAAGCAAATATTTTCAATGGCAGCATTGGTACTGTCGAATTCACAAATTATAAATTACTGAAAAGTAGAAAAAAAAACAACTAAATAGCGGTGTATGATACGCAGCGGGTCGGCTCGTTTTAAATATAAGAATAAAAATCCTGTCTAATTGTAATTTAATGTTTCCCTTAACAACGTTTTAAAAAATTAAATTTTACAATTCAGCAAAAATGGAAAATGAAATTTTATTTTAACATCAAGCTAATTTAAACTGTAATTTTTTTTTTAATGATCAAATGCAGTTGTTCTCTTGATTTCAATTTTAAATTATGTATTATTTCTTAAAGAAGGACATTGCAAAAAATGTAAGTCTTCATCACAAGTTTTAGTTCATGTGATGAATAAACCGGGAGTGATCTCCCCTAAACTTTCTCGAATATTCTTATATAAAATAACAGGGGATGGGAACTCGGGCTATAGACATGATTTTTAATCCATTTTAAATACTTAAAGTTTTAAAAATAGAATAAAATCTCGTAGACAAATTAATTGCACACCAAGTGAACGCCAAATAAAAAAGCGCATAATAGTGCGCAATATTATTAGTACTTCTAAAATTTACATTAGTTTTTTGAGAAATCGAAAGTAGCGTAAATTACTACTTCCAGTCAACGGAAATTACTCAAAATTTAACAGAAGGTAGAGAATTAGATCTTTTACTTACATGTGAAATTTCATGTATCTATCTGAAATAGTACTCAAGTTATAGGCTTTTGAAAAATTCAAAGTAGGAAAAGTACCACTTCCGGTTATCGAAAATCGCTCAAAAGTTGATACGGATCTACGATTTTGATAAAATACTTATATATGAAATTTCATCAACCTAGCTGTAACGGTACTCAAGTAATCATGTTTACACACGGACACACAGACACACACACACACAGACATACGGACAAGATTGCAAAATTATGTTTTTCCGTATCAGTGAGGTGTAAAACAATACTTTCTCTATACTTCGTATATACGAGAAAGTAAAAATGCAACTGACCAGATTAGTTGAAATTAGAAAGGGTCTAATATTTATTTTAAAATTTGTTTGGGGTTGATACTTGTAAAAACATTTGAAACAAAATTTACTATTTAAATAGTAGCCAAGTCACATCATTATTTGTGCTTTTATTAAAAGCGAGCTGATCTGCAGCTTAGCATAGGCTATTTGGTTGTTTTATTTTCTACTTTTCAGTATTTCATAATTTTTTAATTTGACACTACCAATGCTGCGACTGAAAATGTATTTTCAGTTTCATTTGGAAATATTTAGTGATTTGTGAATATAATAAAAGCCTTTTTCCCAAAAGAAAATGTTTTCATGTGAGAATTACTTTTTAATTTCTTGATCCATTTATTAGTATGACAAAAATTATTTGTCACTAAATGACTGAATAGATGAACTTTTGCGCAGACACTAAGTCTGTACAACAAAATTAAAATCTAGATATTACATCAATTACAGGAAATTCAATTATAAAAATTCAGCTAATGGAGTAGTACCAAATTTTCTCATCTTATGTTCTGTCCGGTTTATGATATTAATGATAGTTTTTTTTACTCATGTAGGCTTTTGTATTCTAAAACATAGTAACTTGTATTAAAAAATAATTAGAATGTTTTAACATCCCCCTCCCCCCATCAAACTATATTAAATAAAATAGCTGTGAGAATAGTAAGTTAATTTTTAATCTTTAAAAACAAATCCCCATAAATATGACTTCATTTTACTTGAAATCACAAGTTTGATTTTCTCCACCCCATTGATATTTTATTTTTCTTCTAGGCTCTCTTTGTCACATATATTGTAATATAACTCTGTAATCATGTATTTATCTAACTTAGAGACTGCTGTGATGAACTTAGTTACTATTTTTTGATTTTACAAAAAATGCTAATCTGGAATGATGAAATTAAAAAAAGCTTTAGTGACAACTTTTTTGCTTGCATAACATTGGCAAGAACAGCACATGTCTTGGCCCACACATTTAAGGCCATATTTTAGCTCCTACTGAAGCTAGACACAAAATAGGTATCAGAAGTAATGGGAAAAAGTTAAGCTTTTTTTCTGGTATCGTTTTTTCTGTAATTAGTGAGGTTTGAAAACTCTGTGCAACAGCCTAATTTTTGCTTTTAAACCCAAAAGTCTCCAGTTTGAATACTGAGCTGAGTCTAAAGGATGTCGCTGAGTCCACCCTGGGTACCCAAATCACATAAGAGAATCCAGTATAATGAGTTAATTGAAACATATGAACTCTACTTCATATGCCAAATGTGTCTTTGGCACGAACATGAACAGATGATATTGTATAACCCTCACAACAACTTTTTTCATTAGACATAAAATATTAAATGTTAAAATATTATCTCAAATGATGTTAGCACATAAAAAAACAGCTTTGGCATTAAAAATACCTGTCAACTGTTACAGAAGCTGTTAAGGATTCATTAGAACCTTGATTGAAAGCCAAAGAAGTTTTTGTAGCCAACTGTGGTTGAGTATCTAATTGCAATAAAAAAAGAAATACTAAGTTCCACATATTGTATTAATGAAGTAAGGTGGATTGCTTAACTGTTTACAAGTGCATAATAAATTAGGCTATTAATAATAAAATTTAAGTACTAAAAAATTGTATTGTTACATAATGTAGACAATAAAATAAAAACATTCAAATAATGAATCAAGCTTGTAGAGATGGTTGCTTTAAATCAATGAAGAGGATGTGCTCAGTGACAAATCTAAATTAGTAGTTTTTTAAAGTTTAAAACTGTTAATAAGCATTTATTAAATCCATATTACAAAGATTTTTGAAGGAAACATATTTGTTGATTTAATATTTAATCACCTGTTAAAGGAATACCAAGGTCTCTAAAGAGAGCATCTGGGTCAGTAGGAGCACTGTCATTACTGGCTTGTGAAGTTGCTTTCACAGGACCCTAGATAAATGTATGAAAAATACATTGGTTAATTCCATATATATATATATATATATATATATATATATATATATATATATATATATATATATATATATATATATATATATATATATATATATATTATACATAACTGTAGGCTCCTATATATATTATTAATATATATTATTAAGAGCCCCCGCACCCTCAAAATTGCATTTGAATTTTTTTAAACATGAATTTTTTTCTAAAATATTCACTGAATTAATTTTTTATTGGGTTTAAAATTTAATACTTTATGAATTGTGGAAATCCTACGAATAGGTTAATTTTTAAAGATGGCAACAATTGTCAAAGTTACCAAGATTTCCCCTCCAATTTTTAAAAAATGGAAACACATGAAGATGTACCTCAAAAAAGCTATAGAGAAATAATTGTTTCCTGACAAATATTAAAAAAGGTTTTTTTACCGATGCCTACCCCTTTAATGTTTTGGAGATGCCAATAAAAAAGTGGACTTAAAATTAAGAAAATATAATGAGATCTTGGCATGTCTCATCACATTTCTGTTTCATACCAAAATAGTCCTTCAAATAAATTAGCCTTTTCCATTTTAATTTTGGTGAAATAAAATACAGAATGAATAGGCAGAAACTTTTTCAGACTTTTTCTAAAAACTTGACTTAAAAATAACAATTTTCCTCAACTGGAAAAGGCAGATTTCTGTAATAAAGCGGTAGTGTTACAATGCTGATTAAAGCAACATATGGATGGAACAGAACAGCTAGTTATTAATAATAAATTAATTAATCTACCTCCCCTTTCTTTGCCATTTCCTTTTCTTTCCGTTCTTTCCTGAGCTGCTCAATTTGTGCTTTTTTCCTAGCTATTTCAGCCCTTCTGTCAGCCATTTTTTTATTTGTTTAGTACGAATCTAGTAACAATCTAATATAAAATTACATTTAAAGAAGAATGCCTTTGTAGTCTTGAATCTGAAATAAAATGAATCACTAATTAAAATTGTAATTAGGCCTTTATATTATCAGCTATTGAGTTTAAAAAAGAAAAACTTCAACAAAAAATTGCCTTCCCAGGGGTGCCATTCATTTTTTAAGTGAATCCTGAAAATCAATCTCACAATTTTACCATTCCTGAAACTAAAATTTGAAATTTTTGATACCCTGAACTTAATTTCGCGCGGAATTTCAAAATAAAATGGACTATTATTTCATTATTTTTTTAGACATTTGATTCATATTATGTTCAATCTACATTCTTTTAAAATGGATTTATTTTCTTTGTAACAAGCTTCAAATAAAAATAATCTTTAAAGGATTGTGCATACCGCAAAATTAGTTTACAATGTTAGTCCCATCTCTAGCTTTACCCCATAATGTGTTATTGTAGAACTCCCCTCCCCCTCCCCCCCCTCCCCCCCCCCATGTAAGCCACAATACAAAACAAATGTTTATGTTACTAATACTTTGTTTATAGTGACAGTAGTCACACCTTGTTTTCGGTTGGAAATACAGAAATGTGTACAAATATTTAAGAACTATTTTAGTAGGCCCGAACTTCAACAAGTGGTAGACCTACAATACTAATGTACACCGTTGTATGCTTTTATAACATACCCAAGTATTTAATTTTTTAGAACTTCCTAACTTGATTTAAAGTGTGAAGTCAGCCAACTGTTAAGTAACAAATATTTTGCTAACCTCTACGTCTTGTTATTGAATATTAAGCCCACTTTATGCAAGACCCCTAATAAGATTGTCACTATTAAATACAGGGTTGACTTACTGTAGCTATTCAGGGCTTTAATTATTAGCAGCCACAAATATAACATAAAACCCTGTTTTCCCAATTAACCCCCAATGGGGTCATCAATAAATGATGTCACGCTTTTTTGACGATTTTTACCTCCCCCCTCACCTCGGTCACATACCATCACAAAAGCCAGACCCCGCCCTCTAAAATGACGTCACACCTCAGCCTACAACAATCTATTCATTATTTAGTACAGCTATTTTATAATTAAATAGCATTTCTACCCCAATATAGCCCTACACATTTATTTTATTTTAATTCCCTGATCTTTTGACAAAGTTAAACCATAGATTTATGGAAAAAAAAACAATAATTTATATACAAGGCTTATAGTTATAGTGGTCGAAGTTAGAGCAAGGCACTGGACTAAGTTAGAGCAACCAGGTCGAAGTTAAAACCAAACATAACAAAGTGAGGTCAATGTCTAGACTAGCATATTAGAATTATATTAGCCGTTGTAGTGTGGGTTTTGTAGGAGTTAAGTGGTCTCACGTTTGCTACAGTAGTGTGGTTGTACTAGATCTATTGCTACTAAATCTTGTACTTAACTGAAAATCTAGAATCTACATTAAACAGATCTAGATGACCTATAATATATTACTGCATTTGATCAGATTCGTCTACTTAAACTCTAAACGCAAACAGTATTACTAACAGTATTTTTATTTGGAAATTTCGGCCACATATTTATTTTATCCACAAAACTGTCAATAACAGTATAAGGATCTTCAATTCCTAAGAGTTCAAGTTTTTTAACGTATTTTTCCTTTTCCGCAGGTGCGGTTCTTTACATATAGTGAACGTGTCCAGCGCTGGTGAATAGCTGATTGTGTTTACGTCCGGTGTACACCACCGTGGCGGCGGACGCAGGTATCACGTGATTTAGGTCACATGTTTGCAAGGACTTTATTGGTATAAAAGTAACCATTTTGTCATACATCCACTACCACTATAACCTCTGTTGCTTAAAAGCGAGCACAGAAGTGTAAATGTATGATATAAATGATGTTTACAGGATAACGACATTTTGTTTTGATAACCTACAAGCATACTGCAGGTAGTAGAGGCGTAGCGACCCTTCCCGGCGCCTGGGGACAACTTTCGATTTGCAAACCCCCCCCCCCCCCTCACACTTTCTATTTTCACCCCCCCCCCCCCTCAAACTTTCAATTTGTTTTGCAACCCATGTTGGCGCCCCCTAAGGTTGGCGCTCGGGGACATATTTTACCCCCCCCCTGGCAGGTAAGGATGTACAGCGTGGACCACTCTCCCCACACACTTGAGTTGGAACAGCCTATAACTATAATCGACTTATTAATAGATAGATGACCCTTAAATTAAAACATACTTTTTCTTATAATAGATAAACTATTATAAAAAAGATGCCAGCCGAACAAGAGATGTATACGTTGTATTACTTAAGAGTGTTGGATAAGCTAACTCTAAAGAATATTGGTGAAGGGGTCCCACTGGCAGGTGTCATATTCAATGAGACCGTATTGCCGGGAGACTTAGTCTCTACAGAAACCGTATTGTCAGTGGTCCTTTTGTCGGGAGTCAAATTGACAGGAGCCTATTTGTCATGAGCCAAAATGATGGGAGCCTATTAGTCGTGAGTCGTAATGGCGGGGGCCGTTTTGTCGAAAAACTAAATGACGGGAGCCTATATGTCGGGGTCCATATGTTGCTGGCCCTTTTGACGTGGCTCTTATGTCGGGACCGATTTGTCTGGGTTGTATTGACGGGGCCGTTTTGTCATTGGCTGTTTTGACACCGCACGTTAACTGACAATATCAGCGGAAAATTTGGACTAAAAAATGTGAGTTCTGAAAAAATTGTAAATCCGCCGAATCTCTGAATCTTGACCTAGATCTACATTTCATCTTAATCTGGCACCGTCACACCAAGCGCATAATCTATTTCGAGTGTCCGTTTGACCGAAGTACTGAAAGTCTCGATTTAAATACAAACATGTGGAAAGCGCACGTCAGTCGTTTCCGTAGAGGTCATTTCCTCTGTTTTTTTCCTAATTTTTAAAACTTCGTACAAAATCGAAAATTGGCGAAAAATTCGGCAAAAATTAAATCAGCTGAGGAAAATTGCATCACTGGTCGCATTTGTAGCTCATACAAACTAGAGCCTACTTCTATAATATAGACCTCTTAACTACTTTCGACCGATAAATTTTACTCACGCAGACAGTGTTGTTTCAGGCTTTTTTTTTCGGGGGTAGGGCACTTGAATTTTTGCAGGAGCTAAAAAATTTCTCCGCGTCGGGAGTGGACGACACTGGTAAAAGTATATATCTTCTATATAAATTATATTACGCCTTTTTTTTTGGGGGGGGGGGGGGGGGATAAGACGTTCTACCGTGTGTGTGTGTGGGTAAAGGGGCCTAGCCCCTAACAGATGAGAAACTCTTCACGCAAAACACTTGTAACATTAGACACATAATTTAGGCCGTAATGTCAGTATTTTTTATTATGGAGTATCGATGACGTCTTTTCTTTGAGGGGGGAGGGGGGGGGGGTCGGCATAGACGATCTACCGGGGGGTGGGGCTTTGCCCCTACCCGATGAGATGCATGAAAGAAACTCTTCACGCAAACCACTTTTAAGATTAGACATAATTGGCTTTTTATTCAGTGCTTACTCAAGAATCAATGACGTCATATTACTGTGCGCACTCCCCGGCTTTATATTATTTTCTACTAGATGCTCGATGTGACGTCACGTTTAGTTTTTCAAATCACTATGCATGTTTTTACTCTGCTTGTGTTATCTCTAAGGCGTTCTTGACAGATAGATAGACAGACAGCGAAACTATTATTATAGATTATTATTATAGATCTAGGATTAATCTGTGTCTATGGTTATCATTCTATGATTATTAGAAAAAATTTCCCAATATGACCTAACTCTGAGTCTAAACAGTGAAACACACTAAAATCTATTAATCTAGATCTAAGTAGATCTAGACCTAGTAACTAAATTCACTCTCAAACTCTTAAATCTAAACAGGGGTGTGGGGAAATTGCGAGACGCGAAAAGCGAAATGGCGAGACGGGGAAATGCGAGAAGGGCGCGAAAACGGTCGATCACGTGACTTTTTGTCTCGCAATTTACCACAACCCGATACTTACGCTGGGTGGTGTTGAAATGCGAAGATTTCTGCGAAAAATTTACCGCACCTGATTTTCAGTGATATTTGGTCCAGACTTCAAAGACGTTTCGTTTACATTGTTAAAACTTCAGATTTTTCCGTCGCTAGACATACTGATGATTTGTGAACTCCCCCCATCTTTTGTGTCGACTTAAAATACCACCTTGTTCGAAACCGCCCGAAATACCGCCGACAATAGATCAACTTCTTTCTTTCGTGTGGAACGCCTTAGGCCGCCTGATTTACCGTCTTTCAAGATCACCATGCCCCAATCCGCTGCCGCCACAAACATATTTTGTACTATTGCATAGAAATTTTGTATTATAGCCGCCGCCAGTGTTGTGTGTGGGATGAACGGGGAGGTCAACTGTGATGTTAGATGTACTATGTGTGAGAGATGGTGTCACGAGGTGTGTTTGAGTAGTGCTAGGACTGTTTCAGAAGATTTTGTTTGTAAATTTTGTTTGTAATTAAAATTACTTAATAAAAAATAAATTACACTTTTTAGAACTGTTTATATTTTTACACTTTTTGCAAGTACAACAATCCATGAATACATGTTGCAGAATAACTCTCCTGCTGACAAGATTATACCAGTTGACAATGACACATCTCACATTTGTATAAACATGAGCGAGCTAGATTTTTAAAATTAATGCCGACTGAGACGGGATTTTTCTTCTCGCTAAAGATGTTTGGATCTATCTATCTTCTTAGTATCTATCTATCTATATAATAAAATCTAGATAAAAAAATAACAACATACAACACTCATGTTTAAGGGTAGGGCCTATGGCTAAATGCTTGTTTATTTTAAAACAAAAAAAAATAATTTAAATAAATAAAGATGAAAAAAGCACGAAACAAACTTTTTTTTCGCAAAAAGTGTCTCGCTATTTTTTACCCTTAATTCCGCAGGTATGTCTCGCATTATCTTCTCGCATTTTCCCGCCTCGCCGTTTCGCTTTTCGCAATCTCCCAACACCCTCTAAACTCTAAACAGTACACTGTACACCATTGATCTAGACTAGAAGTAGATCTAGATCTAGAGATCTAAATCTACCTAGAGAATCTAGAACTAGAAAATCTAGATTTCTAGAAGAAGTAGAAATCTAGCTAGACTGCAAGACGTAGAAATCTGGATTCTAGAGAATCTAGACTAGATCTAGATATTAGATATCTACTAGATCTAGATCTATCTAGAATCTAGATCTAGATCTAGATCCAGTAGTTAAGTATTAAAGTCTAGATCTAGATATAATTTTGATAATCACCTTTGTTCACAATTTGTTGATGTGTATTACTTTTTTCTCTGATATCGATAGTGACTCATCATTATAGCGGACGTTATAATTAGCATAAATTATATGACATCAAATTGTCCGAAGTGTACCGAACTGTGTGAGTACTCTAAATGACGGAAGTCAGTGGTGTAACTAAATTTTAAAATATATAACAATAGGCCTACACACACCTACGCAAAAACTGTGTTTGGCGCTTAAGAGGTAGGCTATGGGGTTGGGTTAAATATTACATATTCTCGTATTATGTAATTTCTCCACGATTATTAGATCTAGTCTTTGCTACATTGTTTGTTAAAATGTCTGAATTTCCTTATTTTTGGAAACTAATAAGTAATAAGAGTGTGGATTTTGTTTGATAACTTTATGGGGGTCGTCCATAAATGACGCCACACTCATATGGATTTTAGCCGTTATTTTGCGTTTAGAAAATTGTTTTAATAAATTGTAATAGTAATTCATTAAAATCCTCTATGTTGAGTTCAGACAAGATTTTGGAAAAATATCGTATTTTAAGAAAAATTCAACTGCAATTTTGAGGATTGGGGGGGGGGGGGGGTAACCTGAGGTGTGACGTCAGAGATGCCTGGAAGAAACTGAGAATGTTCTAAAGAAAGAACATAAAACCCTCTAAACTCAGATCAATTTTTTTTTCTGACATTACTAATCTATCTCTGTTATGGATTGACGAGGAGCCACATTGGTGTTAACAGCCTTTTATTTACAGACAGCCATGATGCAAAGAGAGAGAGGAAGTGGCCAGAGACAACTATATATAGATAACAACATGTAAGGGACATCACTCAAGATAACAATATAAATATAATACCAATACAATTATCTCAATCTATTACATCCCTTTACCCTTAGAACACAATAACACATCTCTTAATAGAACAATTGATAGTATCCTAAAATCACCAATTATATTGTAACATGAACACTATGGTAGATTACATCCTTACAAACAATGCACAATATGCTACAACATAAGCAAGATACAAAACAATGATGTCAAAGTCCTTTTGACCTTTAAAATCATAGGTCTAACTTATTTGGGACTTTGATTGTCCTGTTTGACCTTCTCAGTGGCTTTTGATTTGGTGACTCAAGATTCTGACCATCTGGATTCTCTATCTCAGGAGGTCTAGGATTTAAATCATTAACTCCAGAATTTACATTTTCTGACTCTAGACAACTTGGTTCACTCATATCAACAGAACTTGGTTGTGGAACAAACTGAGTTGGTGTGAACTGATCAGATTTGGTGGGATTGACAGATTCACACTTATTATCTGCACAAGTTATTTTTAACTTTATAAGACACAGGTCCTGTACATTGAACAATTTGACCTGGTATCCATTTTTCCTTTCTCCCATAGTTTCTTAGATACACATTCTCATTAACACCAAATTCTCTTTCAATGCATGAGTTGTCATGATTTAATGGAACTATTTTTGAATTGGCATCTGGAAGTATTATGCTGTTATTCAGATCCTTGACTGACATAGATTTCTTTAATTGATCAATTTTTTTAGGTAATCTGATAGTGCTTTTTAGTAACCAAAAATACTGTTTAAAAGTAATATCCTGGACTATATCACTTTGCAACTGTGATCCAGTATTTGAAGTGGGTGTATTAAATGGCAAAAATCTTTTTTTTTTCTTTTCTTTTGATGTTACCCTTTTAGTTTCTGTAAGTGCTAATGATGTTAGCAAAGTTGTTTGATGATCACATTCCTTCTTACTAATGTATTCTCTTTAAAACATTTGAAATTGCCATATCACCATAATCATTTATTAAGTTACAAATACTTTGTTTAGGCAACTCTGACTGATAATGGACTGCATCTTCTCCATCTTTTATATTATCTTCACAAAGGGTTTTAATTTCTTATTTTATATGGCCTTAAGTCATCATTCACAGACTCTTCAGGCCAACCATTCATACAGTACTCATATACTTTTATTAAGCACTCATCTTTTTGTGTTTCTCTTTTAATATCATTCACATTTATATTGGAGTTATCCATGATAGTGAAGAGAACAAATACATCTTCTGGTACATAGCTCAGGCTTTAGTTTTTTAAAGGTAATCTACTAAGACTATCTGCACTATTCTCAGATCCAGGTTTGTATTTCAATTCATAATTGTATGCAGTTAGTGTGATAGCCCATCTTTGAATTCTTGGTGAGGCATGCTCAGGTAGGGTTTTGTTTTCTCCAAATAAACCTAGCAATGGTTTATGATCTGTAAAGATGGTGAACTTCCTACCAAACAGAAACTTATGAAATTTCTTAACACCAAACATGATGCCTAAGCCTTCCCTATCTAACTGAGAATAATTTTTCTCAGCCTGGTTCAAAGATCTACTGGCAAAAGCAATGGGTCTGTCACCCTTCTCATCCATGTGGGACAAGACTGCTCCTACACCATCTGGTGAAGCATCACATGTTAATATAAGTCTTTTCCCTGGGTCATAGTGAGTTAGTAAGGTGTCAGCAGACAAAGCCTCTTTTGCTGTATTAAAAGCAGCTTCTTGTTGTTTACCCCAGTGCCAAGTTGCATTTTTCTGTAGCAGCTTGTACAGTGGTGATAGTTTACCAGACAGATTTCCTATGAACTTTGCATAGTAATTTATTAAGCCCAAAAAAGCTCTTAGTTGTTGGGTATTTTCAGGTTTGGGTGCTTCTTTAATGGCTTTTGTTTTCTCAGGTTGAGGTCTGATGCCTTGTTTGCTCAATATATAACCAAGAAAACTAATTTCTGTCAACATGAATTGACATTTATCTTTGTTTATCTTTAAACCTTTTTCACCAACAATTTTCAATACTTTATCAAGTGTTTTAAGATGTTCAGTGTCATTCTTACCAGTTATGTACACATTGTCAAAGTACACACAAACATTTGGAATGTCCTTAAAAATACTGTCCATGACAGCTTGGAAAATTCCAGGGCTAGATGATATGCCAAAACATAGTCTTTCATATTGGTAGAGTCCTTTATGTGTGTTTATTGTCGTATAGACTTTTGAATCTGGATGCAGTTCTAGTTGAGTGTAAGCATGACTAAAGTCTAATTCAGTGAATTTGTCTCCTGCCAAATTCAAAGAAATTTCCTCAATGTTAGGTATAGGGTACCTATTTAGCTCTATTTGCTTATTCAGTGTAGTTTTATAATCTCCACAAATTCTTATAGAACCATCCTTCTTTAACACTGGCACAATGGGCGACGCCCAATCGGAATAGTCTACCTTCTTTATGATGCCATTAGATTCCAATCTACTTAGCTCATTTTCAATTTTATTCCTCATTGCATAAGGTGGAACTCTAGCTTTGCAGTATCTTGGATTTGTGTCTTTAATGCTTAACTTCACTGTTCTATCATTTAGTAATCCAGAGTTACCAAAAACACATTTATTTTCAGATATAACTTTATCTAGTGAAGTAAGACTAGATTCTTTTACATTCTTCAATGAACAAATACTCTCCCAATTTAACTTAAGATCACTTAACCAGTTCCTACCTAGTAATGGCGGTCCATTTCCTTCAACCACAAGAAGAGGAAGTTTAACACTTTGACCATTATAACTTACATGAACCATACACTCTCCTATTACCGGAACATTGTCACCAGTGTATGTTGTTAGACACTTGTGACATGGTTGTAGAGGCACTGATCCTCCTGTGACAGCGTCAAAATCTTTCTTTGTTATGACTGTTAGAGATGCTCCAGTGTCAAGTTGGAAGCTGATGCTCTTACCGTTGATATAAACTGGTACATTGATGGGAGCATGACTTATTGATTTCACAGAGAACAGGTTGAAATCCGGCTGCAAATCAGTTTGAGCATTTTCACAGGTAGAGTGGTTCATTGGTTGGGTTAGGTAGTCTTGGTGAGAGTTAACATAGTGCTGCTTTTGGTTGCGGTACTGTCTTGACTGGCTAGATTTAGCAACAGACGAAGACTTTGCAAAGCAGGCCTTGGCAATGTGACCTTGCTTACTGCACTTATAACAAGTTGCAGACTTGAACTTGCACCGATGAGATGCATGGGGACCTTTGCATCGATGACATTTTTGATAATTATTACTAGATTTAGATCTAGGATTTGAACGAGCAGGCTGTTTAGCATAAGTTGGAATGCTCTGATGGGGTTGATGTTTATTGACTAACCTGCTGTTTACTGCATGAATCTCTGAAGGTGCTAAAGATCTCGCCGCATCTGATAACTGCTGGAATGACATTGCAAGTTGTATTGCTTTTTCCAATTTTAGATCTGACTCGAGCAGCAACTTTCTTTGAATATCAGGGCTGTTTACACCTGTCACAAACTTTTCACATAATCTGTCAGACAGCGTGTCTCCGAATTCACAAAATTCACTTAAATGACGTAAAGCAGCAACATATTCTGATATTGACTCGTTTGGTTGACGAGTCCTACTGTCAAATCTAGCTCGACATAGAAACTTTGATGGGGTAGGCGCATGGTGGTCTGTTAGCAATTTGCTCAGCTCGTTAAAGCTCTTGGTAGTTAGACTAGCTGGTGCGCATAAGTCTTTTAGTAGCCTAAATTGTTGAGGCCCTATGACTGTTAACAAAATAGCTCTCTTTTTGGCTTCTATCGTCACGTCGTTAGCTTCTAGGTAAAAGCTTAACCTATCTAGGTAATCTTGAATGATTTCATCATTCGCATCAAATTGATTTATTTGGCCATACAGCGCCATTATTCTAGAAATAATTAGCTAATAAGCTCTAGCAAACCTCTTTTTTGCGTAAGTAGGTGCTCTTTCTAGTAGATGTTTATCCTTCGTCGCCAAAATGTTATGGATTGACGAGGAGCCACATTGGTGTTAACAGCCTTTTATTTACAGACAGCCATGATGCAAAGAGAGAGAGGAAGTGGCCAGAGACAACTATATATAGATAACAACATGTAAGGGACATCACTCAAGATAACAATATAAATATAATACCAATACAATTATCTCAATCTATTACAATCTCAATATATAAAAAGCAATGTAAGTTTGTCTGTCTGTCTGCGTGTCTGTCTTTTATGCATTACTACACCTCTCATCACATCGCCATGAAACTTTGGGAAGTTGCTATGAATATTTCTGGGGA